CGGACCGGGAGACCTTTGGAGACAGGTGAGCTGAATTCTGGCTTTTTTCACTTGGTAAATGAGGGGACTGACTACTTGATCTTAGCAGGCTTTTTCAGCCCTAACATTCGAGGGATACTAGCTTAGGCAGGTTGAACTTGGCAAATCTTGCTTGAATACATAAACATGATATGGGTAAATACTTAGACTCATGACCAACAAGTGGAAGAGACTGGAATTTGACTCAAGTATAAAAAGCAGCCTTCCCACCCACCCAATAAATCCAAAACAGGTTTTATCTTCTACTTTTACCAGGTTTATGAAACAGCAGGTTGGCACTTCGGATGTTCATTTTTAGAGTGCTAGACTACACCTGCTTCGTGCTAGGCTTGTGTTTTGAGGGTTGTTTGGGAAATATTATTTTTAAATAACAAACAGGCTTAGAGTTACCATCGTCATAGGGAATTTTGCCTTCTAAAATGTGCTGCTTTTAAGGATTAAAACCTCCAGCTGAACCCACTTGCTCATTGTCTATCTAAATACGATTTTATCCTCTTTTCCTCCTTCATCTTTGCCCTTGTACGAGAGAGGCCAGTCATTTCTTGCCCTCTCCCACATCTCCTTCCCAGGAAACTGCTGCCACCTTTTCTGGGAATCTGTACCTCCACTCAACCCCTGCTGAGTGAATGAATGAATCCCTGAAGCCATAAGCACCTCATTGATCATTTTGGAAGATACCAAGATACTAATTCATTATTTTGAAAACAAAGGGGAGAAAGTTAAGCATTTATCCTTCTTTCCTTATTTAAACCATACCTTAGGCTAATCAAATAATTGAGGAGAGAAAGTCTGTCTGCATAGAAGCTGACCAATGAAAAAGGGACAATAAAATTAAAATATCACCATTTTGCAAACTTTACTGAATTAATTGATTTAGGAAACAATTATCAATGGCTGTCAGTATCATAAAAAGAGGGACAAGAAGACAATATGTGTCTCCTGTTGAACTTATGGCACCACCTATGAAATCTTGCAAAAAGAAAATTGAACCTGAATCTGATTAAAGTCTATAAACTAATGAAAATTTATAGGAAATATAGGGGACAGAGGAACATGTTAGAACACTGCTAAGGAAATACAATCACCATAATCCAAACTGTGGAAAACCTTGTGAGACAAATGACCCAGCTTTTCCAATTAATAGCACGAGAAAAAATGAGGTAGAGGAAGGGGAACCCTGTAGATTTAACAAGACCCAAGAGTCATATTAATCAATTATAATATTTGGCCTGTTTGGCTCCTGATTCAACAAATCTTAAAAATATATATACAGGACAGGACTGGGCGCGGTGGCTCACGCCTATAATCCCACCACTTTAGGAGGCCAAGGCGGGTGGATCACGAGGTCAAGGGATGGAGAACATCCTGGTCAACATGGTGAAACCCTGTCTCTACTAAAAATACAAAAATTAGCTGGGCATGGTGGTGCGTGCCTGTAGTCTCACTACTCGGGAGGCTGAGGCGGGAGAATTGCTTGAACCCAGGAGGCGGAGGTTGCATTGAGCGGAGATTGCGCCATTGCACTCCAGCCTGGGTAACAAGAACGAAACTCTGTCTCAAAAAAAAAAATCTATATATCTATATATACAGGACAAATGAGGGAAATGTGAACAATGCCTGGATATTTAATGATATTAAGAAAATACTGGCCAGGCATGGTGGCTCACTTCAGTAATCCTAGCACTTTGGGAGGCCAAGGCAGGAAGATAGCTTGAGCCCAGGAGTTCGAGACCAGCCTGGGCAACATACTGAGACCTCCTCTACAAAAATTAGCCGGGTGTGATGGCTTGTGTTTGTAGTCTCAGCTACTCTGGAGGCTGATGGGGGAGGATCACTTCTAGCCCAGGAGTCGAGGCTGTAGTGAGTTACCATTGCACCACTGCACTTCAGTCTGGGCAACAGAGTGAGACCCTGTCAAAAAAAAAAAAAAAAAAAAAAAAAAACGGTCCGTGCTTACTCCAGTAATTCCAGCACTTTAGGGGGCTGAAGTGGTTGTATGACTTGAGGTCAGGAGTTGAAGACCAGCCTGGCCAACATGGCAAAACCCTGTCTCTACTAATAAAACACAAAAAAAATTAGCCAGGCATGGCAGCGCATGCCTGTAATTCCAACTACTGGAGGAGGCTGAGGCACAAGAATTGCGTGAACTGGGAGGCGGAGATTGCAGTGAGCTGAGATCACGCCACTGTATGCCAGCCTGGGTGACAGAATGAAACTGTGTCTCAAAAGAAAAGAAAAAAAAATTGTTGATATGGGGGTGATGATAGTTTTGTGATTACTTCTTTAAAAGGAATCCTTCTTCTCTTTATCCTTAGAAATACATGTTGAAATACACATGAATGAAATGGCATCTAGGATTTACTCCAAAACAGCCATGAGGGTTGGAGACAGTCAGGGATACAGAGAAGATGGCCCATGAGCTGACCATGTTGAAGTCGATGATACGTGACTAGAGGTCCATGATACAGTCTCTACAACTGTATATATTTGAAATTTTCCTTCCTAAAAAGTTGAAAAACAAAACCATTTTTCATAATCTTCATTTCTTTTTTTATATGTTTTATATTGGTCATAATATATTAATGTTTTTTACAAATACAGATTTGTGAATTTTTTCTTGTTCTTCACTATTAGAAATGTGTAAAATGTCTGGAGTTTTGTATTTTTTTAACTTGCTTGCCCAGAGACAGGAAGGTCCATGAAAGTAATGACTCTTCCTATTACATCCTCCACAGGGCTCATACCTTGTGAAGCATATAAAATACTCATGTGGGGCTGGGCACGGTGGCTCATGCCTATAATCCCAGCACTTTGGGAGGCCGAGGCAGGTAGATTACCTAAGGTCAGGAGTTCGAGACCAGCCTGGTCAACATAGTGAAACCCTGTCTCTACTAAAAATATAAAAATTAGCTGGGTGTGGCACCTGTAAATCTCAGCTACTTGGGAGGTTGAGGCAGGAGAATTGCATGAACCCAGGAGGCAGAGTTTGCAGTGAGCTGAGCTCTCCAGCATGGGCAACAAGAGCAAAACTGTCTGAAAAAAAAACTTATTTGGGAATACAACTTGTTAAAACACCATTCTGGAGAGGATTGCTCACCTGGCTTCCCCTTTATGGATATCTCAATCTTGACTTTATTGTTAGTTTAGACATTCTATGTGATCAGTCTTAGTACCCAGAAGACCTTATTAACTTGAGGTTTTATAAAGAGAACATAAAAAGATTGAGACTGATTAAATCCATGTTATGGAATTTTATAAGACTTAGTATAAAATGGATATGAAATCCCAAATACTACAGAGGACAGTTCTGTTTCATGCTTTGACCCTCCTTACTAAGGAATACTAAGGGAAGGGAAGGCCCTTAGGGAAGGGGTGGTTACAAAACATCTTTCCATTTCTCCTTGGTGTTGGTTCTGAGCCTGTGTCCCTTGTTTTAATTGCACCACAAACATCTGGTGTGGATGTAGTTGGTGGCTTCTTCCTTGGAGGCCCTTCTGCTTTTAGAGAGCTCTCTATCTCTGTTAATTCCAGTTGCTCTAAGTTCAGACTTTCCCAGGATTTCTTAAGTTTATTTAACTTGAGCGCTCTCTCTTCTTAATTACACATTACTTAATTGTCACCCTGGGAGTAGCTTTCTCTTTTTCCTTGTCTGACAGCCCTCAGCCTTGGTCTCTCTAGTTTAACTGCCTCTTCAAGCTAAGCTTCAGGATTGGGAGAGCAGGCTTTATCCTGCCCAGATTTCTTGCAGAAGAAGCTGTTTGCTGTAGAATGCAGCTTACAAAAGGATTGCCCCTTTAAGTAACCTCCCTAATAACTTTTTCAAAATAACTCAGAACCTGGGTCTGTCTCTTTGTCTGCGTATCTTCTGCCGGGTTCCCTGTCTCACAGAAGATGTCTAGATGGTGCTGCAGCACTGGCTGATAGAAAAGTATTTACCGATCCAATTTTTAAGAGGAAATACTATATTCAGCCATCCAAATATGTTGGGCCAGGCACAGTGGTTCAAGCCTGTAATCCCAGCACTTTGAGAGGCTGAGGTAGGTGGATCACTTGACCTCAGGAGTTTCAGACCAGCCTGGGCAACATAGTGAAACCCCAACTCCACCAAAACTATAAAAAATTAGCTGGGTACGTGCCTGTAGTCCCAGCTGAGGCTGAGGTATAGGATCACTTGAGCCTAGGAAGTCAAGACTGCAGTGAGCCAAGATTGGACCACTGTACTCCAGCCTGGGTGATGGAGTGAGACCCTTCTATACATAAATAAATTAATAATAATGAAAGCCAATGCTTATGTGGTACTTACGAAGTGTCAGGCAAGACATGCTGTCTTACAGGCATGACCTCATGTAGTTAGTTCTATTATCCCCATTTTCAGTGGGGAAACTGAGGACGGGAATATGTAAGCAGCTCACTCCAAATCACAGAGCTAGAGTGAGGCTGTGACTGGGGGGAGCCCAGCTCCAGGGTCCATTCTTTCTCTCTGAGAGACCCAGCTGAGAGGAGGAGAAGGGAAAAGCCTGGACGAAAACACAGAATTACCAGAAGGGAAAGGGAAGTGGGGGGAAAAGTAGGTGGAAAACATTTGAGATTTTTTAGACAAACCTTATTTTGAAGGCTCTCAAAGCTGCAGTATAAAGTGACACTGTTTTGGGGGGCGCACAGCAGTTTAGTGGGAAGAGCTGTGGATGAAAAGTCAGAGAACCTGGGCACTTACCTGGCTCTTCTACCATCTCTGTGACACAGAAAAGTCATTTCGTCACTCTGGCCTTGTTTCCTCATCTAAAAAAGAGAAATTATGCCTATTATTACTCTTCCATAGGGTAATTGTAAGAATCTATTCAGCATTACTTTGAAGAAAAGTGCTAGATGGAAGAAAGTTCTAAGGACTCCCATTTTTAGATGAGCTTGGGAGGACTTTGGTTTGGCATCTGAAGGTAATAAGTTCCTATTTTTGTTTTCAGGGCACTATATTTGTATGTGTCTTGTAGAACCCACGCTTGGAAATGCTGACAGCAGGCTTCAGGACAGCTGAGCCCCAATAAACACCAAGAAAACCCACGGCTCTGGCTGCATCTTCCAACATGACCAATCCACAGTAAGTAATGCTGGGATCTGCTCTCTGGATCCAGAACTGTGGCTATAAATCTCCCAGAAGATGAAGATCTTCTAATTTAGGCAACGACTATGTACATTTCCTTTAGCAGGAGGCCACAGAAAAATGGAGAAACCTTTCAAAAGCAAGACTTAAGACAAGATTAGGAAGCACTGAAGGTGAATTAACAAAATGGGAATTGCAAGGAAATTTAGAAATCACAAGAGGGTTTCTAAAAGCAGGAGCAGGATCCTTAAGGGAAAATTGCTTTCGTTTCCCAAAACCTGAGATGCCACATGAACCAAACACTTAATCTTACCAGGCACCTGCAAGGTGGTCACTTATTTTGTGTTTTGCAACTGGTTGGCATGAATACTAAGATGAAAACAGGACTCCTTCTATTACACCACACTGTCCTGGCCTATCTAGATACAGGCCTGACTGCTCAGTCATCTGGAGTACGTATCTGTTATCTGTTGCTACAGATAATAACCAACCATAGAACCTCAGTTAGAATACAACAATAAATGTGTCTTGCTCAGGTCCTCTGATCTTGGCTGGGATGCCTTTTAAATGTGGGTCATAGCTGGCTGTCAGCTGATCTAAGAGGAGACTGGACTCTGCATCTCTTATCCTCCAGTACTAGGCTGGTCACCCTCTAATGGTGATGTTGGAGGTACAAGAGCACAGGCATAAACTCACAGAGTCTTTTCATGCCTCTGCTGGTGTCTAACCTGGCTCTTCTACCACCTAACATCCCGTTGGCAAAAAAGAGTCACGTGGCTGAATGCTGAATCAAGGGTAAGGAAAACATAATCTTCCTTTTGATGGAAGGAGCTGGGAAGTCATTTGGAAAAGGGCATGGGCTCAAGGAGAGGTAAAGAATGGGAGCATGAATACATTTTGTCTGCCACAGTGTTCTTTGTATCCAAGGAAAGGGTGTAGACTAACTGTAGCCTGGACACTGTGGGACCTTCACTTCACCAGAGGAGATCTTGTCTCTCTGCTGAGACGACCACCAGATGGCCAGACATGCTGCTGGGCCACTGTGAGCACTGGTGGAAGGGGAATGGAGGGCAGCAACATTGGAAAGTTAGTAATTGTTTGTGCTTCTCAGAATCATATCCTATTACTTTCCTTCCATGAGCACCTTACTGATCAGAAAGTTCCATTTATTTAGTTCAGAGATCCATAGTTTCCTTGAGTAGTCCAGAAGAAAAGGAAACAAATTCAACCCAGCATCTGCTTTTTGGTAAACATCTAGGGGAGCTGGGATTCCCCCCATAACACCCACACTTTTCTATCAATTGTTGAGAAACATCGAAACCTCATATTCTATGACTGTTTCATTTAAAGATCTTGAGTCATTTTGTAAATGTCACGAATGATGAGTACTATCATCTGTGCTTAACAAGCAGCAAAAAGCAAAGGTTTAAATAAGGCCTACAAAGGAGAATCGGGCATTAGAAATTACTTGGCGAATTCAGGTGGTCTAGGCAGCCAGTCTGTGGCATTCAAATAGAAATCTCACTTTACCCTTAATTATCTCAATCTCCCCTAAGATGTCCCTGGGTTGGGCTGGGTGCAGTGACTCCTGCCTGTAATCCCAAGCAAAATCCAAGTCAGTAGATTAATCTCTGAACTTTCTGGATAACTGCAGCTGTGTGTGTGTGTGTGTGTGTGTGTGTGTGATTTTGTTTGTTTTTTGAGACAGGGTTTCACTCTTGTTGCCCAGGCTGGAGTGCAATGGTGCGATCTCAGCTCACTGCAACCTCCACCTCCTGGGTTCAAGCAATTCACCTGCCTCAGCCTCCCAAGTAGCTGGGATTGCAGGCATGTGCCACCACATCCAGCTAATTTTGTGTGTTTTTAGTAGAGATGGCGTCACCATGCACGTCAAGCTGGTCTGGAACCCCTAACCTCAGGTGATCCACCTGCCTTGGTCTTCCAAAGTGCTGGGATTACAGGTGTGAGCCACAGCGCCTGGCCTGCAGCTGTGTATTATCGGTTAGATTTCAATGGTTGTTGGAAAAGTTTATAATTTAGAGCTCCCACACAAATATAGGGACGTGTCACTCTAGAGCTCCTCCAATCGTCTCTATGTGTCTGTTATCCATGTCAGATCATAGAGTGAGAAGGAGCAGCCTGTAGGAATATTCTGTTTTACCTCCTCGTGTTCTAAGAAACTGAGGGTCGGGAGGAGCCCCGCAGAAGTTGGCATTCAAGCCAGTGCCAGAGCCCAAGAATAGTTTACAGCAGCTAGGGCTGCCATCTCAGTATTCAAACTGGGCCCTCGTTACCCTAGGCACTGGTAACGAGTGTTCCCTTCAATATCTAAATTTTATTCCTTGCCATAATACTATTACCTCTTTCTAACTCATTGTCTGGATAGAGGCATAAGACTCAGCCCCTCAGATGCTATGTGAGACAGGGTCAAGGACGTATTGGACAGACCAAAGATGGTAAAGGAAAGTTTCTAGTCCAGCGTCTCTGGACAGGGTTGCTGTGGGTGCTTGGGCAGGACAGGCCCTTAGTCGTTAGACATATTGCAGGATATGTAGCGTCCCCAGCCCTACTTAAGTGTCAATAGCAACCCCCTGTGGTCATGGTGGCAACAAAAATGCCTCCACAAATTGCCAGGTACCCCTGGTAGACTGGGAGGTGGCACTGCCCTGGCTGAGATGCCTGGGAGTCCCACTGGAGTGGCCAGTCATTGGCACTGCCCAAGGTGAGCCTGACGGTCACACAGGAGGAGAGCCGCAACTTCTCAGACATTGGATCAAGTGACTCCCATTCCCTATTCCCAACCTTAAGAAGAGACCTATGTTTGGACCAGTTCAAATAGGAAGGGAGTGGCTACCAGGGACAGCGGGAGCCTCCTGTCCTCACCACCCCAAGGCCCACTCAGTCTCTGCAAGTCTCCAGGTAGGCTCCCCAGTCACTGCAGTACATCCGGTTGTGAACAGAAACTTCTTTTCTCTATTATGGAACAGAGAATAGAAACATGTCAAAACACCTTTACAAAGAAACTCAAGAGACAACTTAAAAGAATGTCTGACTCCCATATAAGTCCAGTGACCCAGAATTCTAAAAATGTAAGCCATAGTTTTGCTGGTTGGCAGAGTTCTCCATCTGGATCTTTGCCTCCCTGGAATGAAGGACCCTGCCACACTAAAGCTCCTATGTTCAGGTCTGAGCACTTCCTCTTCCCATTCTCCCACTTTTCCCCAACCATTGAAAGAGATGGAATTGTTAAGGCTCCAGTCCAGTCCGCGGATGGCCAGCAGGGAAGAGGGGCAGCCCTAAGCTTCCTCAGCCCTTTACCGGCACAGTAGCATTCTCCCTCCTTTCCTTTAGGAGTGGAAGAATTTTTTGGTCCTTGAAGATAACTCTTTCCTATTGTTCCCCCTTGACAACCTAGGCCTGCCACAGAAGGAGGAATTTCTGAAGTTGAGATAATCTCCCAACAAGTAGACGAAGAAACCAAGAGCATTGCTCCCGTGCAGCTGGTGAACTTTGCCTATCGGGACTTGCCCCTGGCTGCTGTCGATCTCTCCACGGCGGGCTCGCAGCTCCTGTCAAATCTGGACGAAGATTACCAAAGAGAAGGGTAGGTGCTGTGACCATTGAGCTAGCTAAGAAGTCTCTGGGTTGGGCTGGATGCGGTAGCTCACACCTGTAATCCCAGCACTTTGGGAGGCCAGGGCAGGTGGATCACCTGAGTTCAGGAGTTCGAGACCAGCCTGGCCAACATGGTGAAACCCTGCCTGTACTAAAAATACAAAAATTAGCCTGGCTTGGTGGCGCAGGCCTGTAATCCGGCTATTCAGTAGGCTGAGGCAAGAGAATCGCTTGAATCAGGGAGGCGGGGGTTGCAGTGAGCCGAGATCACACCATTGCACTTCAGCCTGGGCAACAAGAGTGAAACTCCGTCTCAAAAAAATTAAAAAAGGAAGAAGTCCCTGGTTTTCATGGGTATCTTCCAAGATTCCATGAAGCAGCAGCCAAAATGAGCAGTGCTAACTAGTGAGACAGCAGAGGCTCACAGCAGACCACTCAGGCCCTTTGCCTACGCAGAAATTACTTCCTCAGAAAAAGGTGTTGGGCACAGAAAATACTTGCTAGATGACCTGTTAGGTGACATTTGCTTGGAACTCAGAGAATCATAAAGTTTATTTCAGGACTGAAGCTCTCCTTAATGCCCTGTCCAATCCCCTCTCCCTACACTTGGGAAGGAGACCCACGGTGATTAGGGGCTTGCCTGAGGTCACAGAGCCCATAAGGGATGGACTTGAGCTGCACTTTCCCTTTATGAAGTGGACTCTCACTAGGAAGAGTCTGGGAAGAAGGACCCTGCATACCGGAACATGCTTAGGATGTAAGGGAATTCAGAGAATTCTGCTAGGAGCTCTGCAGATATTAGGTCCCGCCCTTTCGGGGGAAGGCATGAGGAATATGTGAGTCCCAATTCAAAAAGGTGGTCCTTACCTCCTCCTACTGTGCATATCAGTCAAAGACACACCAGTTTGATGTCCTTGTTTTCATGGGCTTGGTGATGTAGCTGAAGGCCAAAGAGGGGTAGGAACAGGTCCTAGGGTCACACAGATCAGACTTCTGACTCCGCCCAGGGCTTTCCCTGGCCCCACCCTGCGGCTCTTAGACATAGAATTGTAAATATTGGCAGGACCTTAGAAGCCCGTTCTGGACAGCTTTTCTTTCCTGGGTGCCTGTAAACACTTTGGAACATGCTGGCTGCTTTGAATATAAAAATGAACGTTGCCAGGTATTTTAGAAGCAAATGAGGCGGCTTTGCTAAAGCTAAATTTGAAGAGCTTGGATTCCCTGGACTTGTTTCTGGAAGGAGCTCCCCGCCTTCCTGAGATAAACCGCCTGACAATGGTGAAACTACACCCCAGTGGCTTTCTCCGAAAATATAATTTTTTTAAGCATTGCGTACATTGTCAGCAGGACATTGGAAAAAAGGGATAGGCAAGCAGGTCAGAGGCAGCTAAGGGACATCTGCAGTGGCAGCGCCTCCCTGAGCTGTCAGCGTAGGGTTGGCTTCTCCCAGGTCCTTACCAGCTTGAAGGCCGGGCTAAAACCTGAGTCCCCTGGGCCAGGGCCAGCTTCGTGCACATGTGACCTGTGCAGTAGCAGGGAGCCCGGCGCTTAGACGGGCCCCAGCACTTGGCTACATGCCCTGCTGCTGCCGTTTTGAAATGCTTAAGGAGCCCCACATTTTCACTGGGCTCTGCAAATGTTGCAGCCTGTGGGTCCTTCTCTGAGCGCCCAGTGAGTCACTACGTCACTGCTCTCTGGTGGTTAAAGGCAGTAGTGCAGCCTTCTAACTTCACCTAGCTGCTCCAGAGAGTTCATTTCCTGCCCTGGCCTGAGCCTGTTAGGCCCTTCTCACGTGGGGAGCAGGATGGTCTGGAGAGAAGTGGGACCACCTCCAGGGATTCTGGTTCAGAGCAAAGCAGTGTCCACGCGTGTCCCCTGTGGGCATTATTACACCGCGGGTGGACCCTGCAATGGGTGTTCCTCACCAGGGGTCCCGCGCTGTCGTGTACCCCCTTTCAGGGGTCCCGCTCTGTAGTGTACCCTCTTCCAGGTGTCCCATGTGTATCACTCCCTAGTCTAAATCCCAAGGCTGGCAGAGGCCTTGCCTTATCATTCAATTTGCCTCTAAATTGGGCCTTTGCAAGGTTTCTTCCCAAGCAAACGAATCCAAATGATGCGCCTGCAAGGCAGAGGGGCCCTTGATTGGATTTGAATCTCCAGGTGTGCCCAGGAAAGCTGTTCCCTTTGGGTAAATAGGAAGCAGCCCGGGGAAGGGATTTGCCTCGCTGCTGGAGCTCTCAGCTGGGAGCCTCGATTGGCAGCCAGAGGTCTTCCCGGAGGAAGGAAGCGCGGGCTCAGGACTGGAGCCAGGGAACACTGAAGCGAAGCAAAAACGCGCTGCGAGGGAGGAACGGCCTCTCCCCGCGAGGCGTCTTGGCTCTCACTGCATTTCCTGGGGTTTTCCCAAAATGTCCAACCGGCCCTTTCTGGGGCAATGTAAAACAAAAGGAAGAGTCCTCATTTCAGCTCTGAGCTTGGTTTCAGGCTTGTGCAAAATGCCTCTTCCTACGAAGGCCAGTGTTTTGTACGGGAATGAACCTTTTCTGTAGGTAATGAAAAGACCTCAGGGACCCCAGCAAAAAAGTGCTCCGTGGCCCGGCTGCCCGCGTCCCAGTCTCTTGAGCTCCGTGATATTTCAGGGCTTTTCAATTTTCCGGAATCTGAGGCTGTTAGAGCTGGAAGAGACCTAAACACATCCGTTCTAAACATTCTCAAAGACAGCGAGGCCCAGGGAGTACATGCCCAAGGTCACACAAGCACAGAGGCGGGGGCGGGGCGGCGCAGGGCGTGCTAGTCCACGCCTGTAATCCCAGCACTTTGGGGGACCGAGGTGAGAGGATCACTTGAGCCCTGGAGTTCGAGACCAGCTGTGTGCAACATGGCAGAATCCCATCTCTACAAAAAAAATCAGCGGGGCATGTTGGTGCATGTCTGCCATCCTAGCTGCTTTGGAGGCTGAGGTGGGAAGATCACTTGAGCCCAGGAGGTCAAGGCTTTAGTGAGCTGCGATTGCTTCGTTGCACTCTAGCCTGGGCAACAGAGTAAGACTCTGTCTCAACAATAACAAAAAATGACAGAGATGGGAATAGAGCCCCATCCCTGCTCCTGATCCCTTGATCTTGGCTAGCACCCCTGGGCTTCCACTTGTCACCTGTCCCTTTCCACCATCACGATTGTGCCTGTGGATAGCATGCATTGCCCGTGTGATACCACTGCTAGCTGCCCTGTCTAATGCCTTCAACTTCTTAGATACTTTTTTTTTTTTTTAACCAAGTCTCCAGGCTGGAGTGTAGTGGTGCAATCTTGGCTCACTGCAACCTCCATCTCCCGGGTTTAAGCAATCCTTCCACCTCAGCCTCCCCAGTAGCTGGGATTACAGGCATGTACCACCACACCCAGCTAAGTTTTGTATTTTTTTTTAGTAGAGATGGGGTTTCACCATGTTGCCCAGGCTGGTCTCAAACTCCTGACCTCAAGTGATCCGACTGCCTCTGCCTCCCAAAGTGCTGGAATTACTGGCATGAGCCACAGTGCCCAGCCTCAGTATACTTTAAAAAAAAAAAAAAAAGATTTTTAAAAATCGTGGTAAAATACATATAACAAAATTTACCATCTTAACTATTCTTTTTTATTTATTTATTTAGAACAGGAGTTTCGCTCTTGTCCAGGCTGGAGTGCAGTGGCGTGATCTCGGCTCACTGCAACCTCCGCCTCCCAGGTTCAAGCGATTCTCCTGCCTCAGCCTCCAGAGTAGCTGAGACGTGCCACCATGCCTGGCTGAATTTTGTGTTTTTAGTAGAGATGGGGTTTCACCATGTTGGCCAGGATGTTTTCGATCTCCTGACCTTGTGATCCGCCCACCTCAGCCTCCCAAAGTGCTGGGATTACAGGCATGAGCCCCCACACCCGGCCAACCATTCTTAAGTGTAAGCTTCAGTGGCATTAAGGACATATACATTGCTGGGCAACTCTAGCCAGCATCCATCTCCAGAGCTCTCCTTGCAAAATAGAAACTCTGTGCCCAGTACACAATAGCTTCCTGTTCCCTCCTCCTGCAGCCCATGGAAACCACCATTCTACCTTCTGTCTCTTTGAATTTGACTACTCTAAGTGCCTTATGTAAGTGAAGTCCTGCAGTATTTGTTCCTTTATGACTGGCTTATTTTGCTTAGCAAGGTGTCCACAAGGTGCAGCCATGTTGCAACATATGTCAGAATTTCTTTCCTCTCTAAACTGAGTAATTGTTCACTGTGTGACTGTACCACACTTGGCTTATCCATTCCTCTGTCAACGGACACACCCCACACAGTTTTTTCTCACATGTGTTCATATTTTAACTATTGTGAATAATGCTGTTATGAACATGCCTATGCAAATATCTCTTCAAAACCCTGCTTTCAGGCTGGATGCAGTGGCTCACACCTGTAATCCCAGCACTTTGGGAGGCTGAGGCGGGCGGATCACCTGAGGTCAGCAGTTCGAGACCAGCCTGGCCAACATGGCGAACCCTGTCTCTACTAAAAATACAAAACTAGCCGGGTGTGGTAGCACACACCTGTAATTTCTGCTACTTGGGAGGCTGAGGCAGGAGAATTGCTTGAACCCAGGAGGCAGAGGTTGTGGTGAGCCGAGATCGTACCATCACTGCCCTCCAGCTTGGGTGACAGAGTGAGACTGTCTCAAAAAAAAAGTAGTAATAATAGTCTGTTTTCAATGCTTTTGGGTATATATCCAAAAGCAGAATTGGTGGTTCACGTGGTGATTCTGTTTGTGACTTTTTGAGGACCCACCACGCTGCTTTCTGCAGTGGCTACCGTACCATTTCACACTCCACCCAACAGTGCCTGAGGGTTCTGATTTCTCCTTGTCTTCACCAACACTGGCTATTTTCCATTTTGTTGATAGCAGTCATCCTAATGGGTGTGAGGTGGTGTGCTATGCTTTTTAAGCCCATGAAAGTCCTTTGGGGTGAGGAAGAAGGAGCAGCCG